ACAGACCAGATGAACAGAATAAAGGTGTGTACTTCGTAAACCCGGGTAAAATGTGTGACCTCACAGATCAAATGATCACAACAAATACGTGAATTCTGCATTACGTATAGGTCAATACAAGACATCGTCAGAGAATCTGCTGGGTACCTGCCGGGTGCCTGCCGGATACCGACCAAAGAGGGTGACAAAATTTCTAACAAAATGCTACTGAAGGAAACTTTTAATTGTGACCACGACAGACGATGCCCGCTCGACTCCTGAACCCGGCCGGGGCCAGCCGGGGCTACATCCCCGACGGGCACCGGCGTAATTGGGACCTTAGCTTAACAAAGGAGACTTGGTCAAACACATGTACAGATCATTAGGAGTTTCAGGGTGGGGGTCAGAATTTCTCTTTTTTGAAGGGTAACTACTAGTACGATTATACTAAAGGGATTACGCATACTGGATTTCAAAACAGATCTGTCTAACCCCCGAGTTACATACAGAACTATTTTTATTGAACATTGATAATGGTAGATTTACGTGCTACCAACCTAACGGCTGTAGCACGGTTGACTACGCCATCTCTAGTAGCTCACTATTTCACAACATTAATTTCTTTAAAGTCCACCAATTGACTGAGTTTTCGGACCATTGTATGGTATCTTTAAACATACGCGCCTTAGCGCACTCCCAGGAAAACGCTAAAACTGACGAAAAGTTACACCCTTTACCATGTCGGTTTGTCTGGGGCCCTGATTCTAGCGAGAAATTTATAAAAGCCCTCAGAAGCTCAACAATTTCTCAAAGACTAAACAAATTTCTATCTATAGATGAAAATGCAATGCATTCAACAAAAAAGGTTAACGAAAATGTACGAGAATTTCAAGACATTCTAGTATCAGCAGGAAAGATATCACTACAAATAAGAGGCAAAAAGAAGTCAAAAGAATTAAAAAGAAACAAAAAATGGTTTGACAAGACCTGCTATGAAGCGCGTACAGAATTGAAAAATATAAGATATCTATTAACAAACAACCCCAAGAATCCATTCGTAAGAGGTAGCTACTTCAGAAAGAAAAAAGAATTTAAAAAACTAATCAGAAAACGGAAAAGGGAACATGAAGCTAACTGTTTAATGGAGCTCCAAAAACTGCAAGATGATAACCCAACAGCCTTCTGGAACCTACTTAAAGACCTAAAGCAGACAAATTCCACAAACCAAGAGGACATACCAGCAGACACATGGGTAAATCACTTTAAAGCCCTCCATGAAAAATCTAGATTACAAAGACAAGAGTTTGACTCTAACTTTGAAACAACTGTTATTAACAAACTCAAAATACTTCAAAATCGTAACCACTCCCAAGGCCCATTAGACTATGATATTACAGCATCAGAAATTGACACTGCCATTCAAGGACTTAAAAATAAAAAGGCTAGCGGCCAGGATATGATAACTAATGAAATGCTGAAATCAGGTAAATCTCTCATACTCCGCCCCCTCATGACTCTATTCAATAACGTCCTCTCGACAGGAACCTTTCCCACGGAATGGTCCAGAAGTTTCATTGTTCCAATATACAAAACAGGAAAAAAGGACGACACAAATA